CATACACTTATTATTTTTTTCATCAGGCACAAAAAACGTACTCTTGAGATTTTGTAAATTAAAGACGCTAATTTCATAACAGTGAAATTTTTGTTAAATGCTGTATTTTATAGTTCTTTTAATGCGGAAAAAATTGTACACGGTGGCGCATATTGGGATGGTGGAACAAAATTGAGTATTGACTGTATTTCGTGGTGAATATTTGTTACATTTGCACCCAGCACTTACCTTTCCCATTATTTGGCAATTCAGCAGCATAAGCAGCCAAATAACCAATATCTGCTCCTGTTGCGTCACTCTGCAGAAAAACTGTGGCTTCATTCGCAGCAAAAAGCGGCGGCACGAACAAGTCGTATGTTCCTGTGAACCTTTTTTCAAAGCCCATCATTTAAAATATTTAAAAAAATCTACTATTTTATGCATTCAATCATTTTTTCCGGGAGGAACAATAATACTTACTGTTCGAACCATTCCAAGTTCGGATTTGTGTCGCGGAGTTCGAGTTGCACGTAGTCTTCATTCATGGTGCGTAGGTGTAGAAACCCTAGCCTCACAGTGTCAATGGTACCACTGTCGACCAAAAGGTCTTGTCCGCAGTCTCTGGGCACCACGAAGTTGGGGTAATTGCTTGGGTACCCTGGACTTGAGATGAATCCATGGTCCTGAATGTCAGTCAACACGATTTGCTCTGAATAATGTTGGGAAAGAAATTTTAAAAATTTAATTAGACGTAACCAGGTTCTAGGGAAAGACTGTTCAACCTTTGATAGTTTTTTATTACAGGTGGTACCTCGAAATTCAACCTCCCGCAATTTGACGGTCAAATTTGCTTGGAGGTCAACTCGTATAATTCGACCTCTTTCCCGAAATTAGACCTGTTTTAGCCTCTTTTCAAGTGTTTTTGTGCTGTTTGCCCTTGATTTTATAGAGTGTCTTGAAATTTGCCCATTTTGCAAATTGATCTTAGTTTAGCAATGGATTAGGGCCAAATTGCAAGGTACCACCTATAGTCTTAGGCAGAGGATTAGAGAGAGAGAACATTTAATCCAAGAATATTATTAAGGATAATTTTTGAAAATAGCCTTTTTGGTAAGAAGTCAAACATTCCATTTAGAAAACTCTTAATAAAGATGTTTTCTTTCGTGAAAATTATGAAACAAATAGTACATACACTACAATAAAAATGCGTCCTTAATTATTTTTAAGGCTGATGTAAGGTTCTGCTGGAGGTAATAAAAACATGTCATGTTCTTAAAGTGAATATACTGTACCTTAAATTTCCCACATTTTAAAACTGAATCAAAAAAATAAATCTAGCTCCGGAAAAGGACAAATTTGCATGATGAGCAAATTCAACAATGAAGTTTGGTTGCCACCGAATTTTGCTCCAGTTAGCGGACTTTGTTTCGTGAAATAGACAGCACATAAAG